AGACAAGAAGGGAAGCATAAACATTTCATATTCTGCATTTAATTTTATGTTTAAATTTACAAATTGAAGATGTTCAGATTTTGCGCAGCAGAGCAAAGCAAAAAGATTAAGCATTATATGCTGCAGAATTTGTGAAAATTTTAAGAAAAAATGTGAAATATATAAACTAACAAAACATGAAAATTGTCTCAATGCAAATTGCAGAACATTATGAGAAGATACATTTTGAGATACCACTGTATGATCCATTATTGAAATTCCGCATTACTAAATTTTGATGGTTGGAATTAAAATTAACTACATACAGCAGGATTTTGTTACAACAATAAATCTTGTTAAAATAATGTATTGCATAGAAAATGTTTACAAGGTTCACAAATACTTCATCCATGGTTTTGCTAGAATACATGAAAACTTTCATGTGTACATTTTATACACTATGTCCTCAACTTTTGTCATAATTCCTCAACCACTTCCACCAGCAGCCAGAATTCGAACTGGAAATTTTTTTGAAGATCATATTTTTTTCAGGATACATTTTTATGGACAATTTTCCATTCCAAACAGATTAACATTTTCCAAAAAAAGTTACATTAATCCATCTCGTGCTGTATAAATCCAGAAGACGTCACAAAATACTGAATACACAGTTTTCGAGGCAATTTTTGGGGAATGCATGGGTTTTACTTTTTTTTTTAATTAAGGTTCAACTCACGGATCATTGTAGGAATTACTGCTGCTCTGAGTAGGGTGTCTAAACGAGCTCCAACGACCAGCTGAATCCCTGCTGCTGTCGTCAGACTTGCTGCTCGTCGTCACACCGTACCTGTCACTGTCTCGTACTTTTTCGGAAGTACTGAATGAGGTTGCACTTCGAAAACTGCCGACTTCCCGGTTGTTGGTGGCGGATTGGGTCAACCCTTCGACGTAATCGTGGGTTCCGGTCAACGGGCTCGGGGTTTCTTTCGATGGAGTGCTGTCGAAATGAGTTCAACTATTTGTAATGATCCATTTTCAAAAAACTCAACAGATTCAATCATAGGCTCGAATTATACCACAATATATAAGCGGGTACCAGCAGTGGAAAAATTGAGGTACCACATCGTTGTAAATAGTTGGGATTACGAGCATAAAAGAAAATTTTGATTTGAAAATGTACCATGCAGGACAAAATTGAATAAGATTGCGACCAAAACGTATTTTTAAAAAACTGACTAAGGTTGAAGGCAATGACAAAAAACAAAATGACGCTAAAGTTTAATTTCTCGTAATACCCCGCATGCTGCGTATGAAAAATAAATTTGAGATGATGGACAACTGAAATCTGTCCGAAACCCAGAAAGTGCCAATATTTGCAGAAAAAAGCAAATACCGTGCTTTATAATTCTCTTGGTGCAACCAAGAAAAATAGACCACTTTTTAAACACCGCAATAATTCTTGGGTAGGCCAGAACTATTTTTTGCAATCTTTCTCTCTCGCAATCCCGGGGAAGAAATCGTCGAAAATGTTAACGAAGTTCTTGAAATGAATCTGAATTATTATACTGTGCACAAACAGGTATGAAATCTNATTTATAACTGGGGTTGACTGTATTTTATTACACTTACTTTCTCGTGTCTTCTAAGGGCAATGGGTCCTTGAGAGGTGAAGGAGTGCCAGCATTGATGTCAGGCTCCAGATATCGATGTGGTTTTGTGTCTGATTCTGATTTTCCGGAAGCAGGTAATAATGAGGCAGGATGAACGTCGACAGGGTCAGAAAACACCAGAGCAGGTTTGATCTCTTCTGAGCCAAAACGAGGCGGGATTCTTGACTGGCTTTGCCCAACAGCAACTCTTTGAAAAAAAAAATGCATTTTTTCGACGTTTAAAATTGCAGGACTTATTCCTCATGCGAAAAACTCGCAAATGAGGTAAAATTATATGGGGCTAGGGGTGATTTTTGCAGCACCGATGAAATTTCAATAAAAATGACACATACTATTTCTAGGTGTCATGGCATAATGTAATTCTTGAAAGGGAATGTGATTAAAATCTTCAATTTCACGACGGCTTTCACGTTTCCGGTTCTTGGTAATCAACAAAAATATCAATTGCTTGAGCACTTGTACAGAAAGATTTCGGCCTATTTAATTAAGGGTTTTAATTAAGCTCAGATGAAATTTCAAGAAAAATGATATCTATTTTTAAGTTTCACGCCATAATGTAATTTTTTGGAAGGAAATGTGATAAGGAAACTTTAATTTTACAAAGTCTTTCAAGTTTCTGGTTTTTGGAAATTAACAAAAAATGGCAATCGCTTGATCCCTTATTCAGAAAGTTCTAAAGCTTTTCAAAATCAAGTTTGTATTTATGCACCTATGAAATTCAAAAAAGACATTCACGTTTAAGTTTCCTGGCTTAAAGTATTTTTTGGAAGGAACTGTGTATATAGGAAACGTCAATTTTACCAAGTCTTTCAAGTTTTGGTTTAAAAAAATAACAAATATGACAATTGTTTGATCCCTTGTTTACTATAGGTTTTAGGGCTTTTGAATTAAGGTATCCAATATTCCATGAAACTAATTGATCCCGTAGCATGAAACTCTGGTGAAAATTTTTCATATACAATATTTAAAAAATGTATAATAGTGTACTTGATCAGCTTTGTACTTAGCAATCTAGGGATTCTTCAAAATTAGTCAGCTTTTGCACAGGTGGTACCTTACAATTGGACCCTAATCCATTGCTGGACTAGGGTCAAATTGCAAAGTGGTCAAATTGCCAGACACTTTGTGAAATTGAGAAATATGAGCACAAAAACTCAAAAAAATGACTAAAGCAGGTCAAATTCCAGGGCAGAGGTGGAATTGCGATTCAACCAGTCAAACCTTGTTAAACTGCCAATGTTTGTGCCACCAAATTTTGGCGGTTTAATGAGGGTGGCGGTTTAACAGGGGAAGCAAAAAAATCCCTTTTTTTTTAACGGGGGCAGGTTGTAGAAAGGGTGGCACATGGAAAATAGAAGCAGCACATATAAGTGGAGCAAACTACTTTATTCAAGTTTTAAAGGATTCCATTTGACATTTTCGGGGATTATAGCCTTATATTCTTTCCTGCCATTTCACACACGTCAGCACTTCCACTTCCCAAGATCAAACTCAGTTGACTGGGATTATAACTGCTTTTTTGGTTTGCATTTTTGAAAAAGTCCAACCTTCTGTGTCCTTGGTTGTAGAGACAAAACAGTTGCTGAAGATTGTAGACAATAATATTCAAGGGTTTTATTGACATGAATCTGTGAAGGGTGTCATGCTGTATTTGTGGATGAACTATTTTGGCTAGTTATGAAAAAAAAAGAAGGAAAGAGGCTATGCATCAGAAGATGAAAACCTTCATGAGAGGAAATGAGTTCATGTGTATTTAAGCATACATTATTTTGTCATTTTATTTAAAAGAAAAAAAGAAGGCCATGCATCAGAAGATGACGCGACCTTCATGAGAGGAAACCAGAAAACCAGGTTTCAAAAAGATAAAAACCTGGCTGATGGACAGCTAGAAAAATAGTTGGCGGTTTAAAGGGGGGAAAATACATGTTGGGAGCAGATTTGGTGGGGGAATTTTTTTGGCGGATGGCGGTTGGCGGTTTATTGGGGGTGTCCCATCCTTTCAAGATTGGGATGTTTTGTTTGAAGGAAAAACTTGGCAGGAAGTGAGGGTGGCAGTCTAACGGGGGGCGGTCTATCGGGGTTGCACTGTACCTGCAAATTTGACCATCCAATTGCAGGATGGTTAAATTGCAGGAGGTCAAATTGTGAGATACCACCTGTATATTGAGCACTGTTTGTTTTTTCTCTTTTTCTTGAAACCATCAAGTTGAATGCTGAAAATGTATCCACTGTCACCGGAATAACAATCTACTCATATACTTTTGATATTAAAATAAAATCGTATCTAAATTTGGGGTTGACAACAAATGTTCTGGGTAAATTGTGTCTGAAGGAGAAATGCATAAATAAATGTGCTCTGAAAAATTGTCCTGCTTCCCATAAACCCAATTATATACGACCTTTGAAAATATGCCAGCGCACTTTTTTTTTTTAGCCAGACAGATTCAGCATTTCCTTCCTTCCTGGATTATGGAAATACGTGTACAGTATGTAGAATAAAGATAACACGGAAAATTAAATAATCAAGATGCCGGTTCGAGATGATGTGGGAGCCTAATTTCCGCGTAGTATTCAGCGTCCGTAAACGAGAAACGCTTGGTCGCATTTTTTATGGGCGTTTCCCACGAATGGCTCAGTTGACAATGGTTCGTCTGAGTGCGTTTACAGCAGGGATTTGATTATAACTGAGACATTAAATTTTTGTCTCGGAATACAGTATTTCACCATTTTCTTCCATCTTCTTCCTCATCATTGAAGACTCCTCCATAAGTTAGCCTTATTTTCACGAAGCAGCAGTTAATGGCAGCACGAATAAAACTTTATCTTTTGCTCAATAAAATTGTGCGTAGGCTTTCTTTAGCATTTTATGTCTTTTTGGAGATTTATTTTTAGAGATATTCGAACCCATGAAAAATGTTGAGCTCTTTGTAAACAAAAGACTGTCTAAATAATCAGACTGGGTCATGTAAAATAATAAAACTTTCTCATTTTTTTAAATTTGGGCTTGAATCATCAGGTCAACAATGAAAAGATGAAATCATTTGAAATTTGAAAATACTGTACTGCATGACTCAATAATATGTTTAAAATCCCAATTTATTTGTTTGGGTTTTGGGGGTTGAAAACTTCATAAAGCACTTCGAGAATGTAATGAATAAAGCATCCAAAAAATTGAAATCATATATAAAATCTGGATTTTTCTTATCCCCATTTGAATCCATTCAACTAACTTAGAATGAATGCATTTTATTTAAATTCTCCACCAAGATTCCTGAGAAATAACTGAAAATAATAAAAATACCCTGCAGCTGAGGCTATTAACTTAACTTTGCTCACGTCCCTGGAATGAAAAGGTCATGATTGATCTTGATTTTTTCAGAAATTTAGAGACATCATTTATTTACAGACGCCAGTATACAAAAATCGCATACGTATTTTAATCAGGTCAACTGTTTTTGCATGCGTGTATTACCTAATAAATGTGCTGAAACCCTGCATTTACCACAAAAAATAATTGTATCTACGATGGAATAAACAACTGATGACCGACTGCAGAGCCGTACACTGACACTTCATAAGAAATATTTTCTTGAATAGATTTTTCAAGAGCGTCAAATTTTGCAAGTGGACATATTATTTACAAAGAAATAATAAAAAAGGAACGAACACTTTTCTCAACATGACGATTGTCTTATTTCTGAGATAATTTGCCCACGATGAAGCGGCTCTTTGAAAATGCCCTTCGGATATGACACAACAACGCATTTCTGCAACCGCTGCGTTATTCAATGTAATTTTAGATATGGAACTCAACAAATAAATCAGAGCTTCCATTACACAACTCATTACCCCCAAGGGCCGACTAAAAAGAATGGGTGTACTGACGCCACTGAAAAATCTATCCCGATTTATATCTCTCTAGAAAAATTGTCTCGGTTTGTCCACAATGAGAAACTGTGAATCAAGATAATATTAATCAGAATGTCTTGAGGGCATTGTGTATAAAGAAAGTATACGAGAACAATTGCGAAGGTTGCATTCGCTGTTACGCCAGCAGTTGAAAGCTCGAGCAACTTATGAAGACAAGTCTGCTTGATAAAGATCGAGAAAACCACGTGACATTGAAAGCTTCATGCTGTTTTCATTCGGAGGAAATTACGCATGGAAATTACTTTTGTAAAAGTAAAAAAATATAAAACATACTCACAGGCCAATTAGAAGTAGGCTCAACGGAAGCAAACGAGGAAGCATGATATTATTTATATCCCGACACAATACGCACTTTCCGCAGCAGGAGGAGAAGAAAGAATCACAAACATAATTAGAAAAGAAAGTGTCATGCATAAAATGCATTAATTTTACTGTAGTCATAAATGTGAAGGTATGACTGATTTCCTTCAGAGTGTAACGGAAATATTCGAAATTTAATGAAATTTTGAATAATAAAAATGTGGGACGCTGAGGGAAATTCGCGCACGAGTAATGATTTAAAAGTTCTGCCACCACAAAAAACTCATTAATATAGGTTTTATGGGTACTGTTCTCGTTCCTTTTAGAATTACTATGGTTCAAACCACCGTGAGATCCATAATAATAACCCTCAATAAAGTAAGCCTCTCACTTAATTTTGAAAAAAAAAAATACGCTCATTTCTTTTGGAAATCTCCTCGTTGCAAAGTTTTTTCCGTATGTTTGCACTGATTTCCATTAATACATAATTGGAACTAAAGTAGTACAGTATGTTTTTGGCATATCCGCCTCAAAGTATTACAAAAAATGTAACTACATGCAACACCTTGAAGAGTACTGCAACAAATGTAACTGCAACAACTAAAAGTATACTGTGACAAATGAAACTGCAACAAATACATATTAAGCGTAACAAGTAATACAAGTTTTTCTTTAAAACACATATCAGCTGGATGTGTCAGACACATTTCAAATGCATTTTGCAACCCCAAATTATTTGCTGGTTAATAAGCAATTTCACTGGGATCTGCAACCACAACAACAACAACAAATCAACACAAAAACTTCCAGAACTCTCGCGCACAACTTCATCCCATTCGTCCTGCATCAAACTTGAATATGGAAAACAGCTCATGAAAAAAATATTTAACAAAAAAAAACAGAATAAGTTTCTAAGCTCGTTCTTAGCAGCAGTGACGATCGTAGTGATTATGATGAGGACCGAATGCGGACAGAAA